GGGAGAATAACTGGGATTCTGGTTCATTCTGGTTTTGCAGGCAGGGCTGTTCAAGTTCTTTTGAAGCCTGGTTTAAATAACCCCTGCGCACCATTCAATTATATTTGATTTTGTATTCACCAAGCATCCTCTGCTTAGTAATTCAGTTTCCAAGAGCCAGAGGAAGGGAAGTGTGGTAGATTGATGTCAAAGTGGCTATAATTATTCTTCATCCCTGTATCCAAACCCCATAAGAGGTGACTTTATAACTCATGCGTTCCATGGGTGGAGACTATGTCTTTACCCCTTGAACCCGTGTTGGCTTTATGATTTGTTTTGGCCAAGGGGATGAGAAGGAAGTGAGAGTGTGCCAGGGAGAAGACTTGAAAGCTTGTAAGAGGCTTGAAAGCTGCTCTCTCTCTCTCTATCCTCTGAATCTTGCAGCCCCATGGGAACACATTCATTCCAACTGAATGAATGATGATCAGCAAGGCCATTTACCCTGTCTGCTGTGGCTGATTGCCAGAAAACACCAGACACAAAGGTGAGGTCTCTTCAGATCAGCTAGCCTACAGTACAACCACAGGAACCTGAGTAAGCCCAGGAGACATCAGCTGGACTGTATCCACATCAGCAGAACTTCTCTGCTGACCTCTGATATGTGAGCAAAATCAACTGCTTACTTGTTTTAAGTCGCTGAGTTCTGCCACGGTTGTTATGCAGCAATAGCTAATTGACATAGGAGAGTATTCTAATGTGAATCTTATGATCAATAAAAAAAATTGGGCCACCATTATAAATAAACATACAAGCAAAGTTGTTATTCTTAAATAACAACAACAAAACCCCTTGGCATTCTAGTTTGTGTTTTAAGATCTTTTAAGCCAGTTAGTGTGGAAGTTCCTGTGAACTTGAGTAGCTCTGAATAAGTGGACCAATCTGAATTTATGGATTTGCAAGTTGGAGATTTGCAATCCTAGACCAGCAACTTTAAAAACACTCCCACCTGGGATTCCAGCTTAGGTGGGAGGGGAAGAATATAGGGCTCTCAAAAACTAGAAGGGAGGAGTTCAAAAGCTTCCAACACAAAGAAATGATAAATGTTTGAGGTGATGGAAATGCTGATTATCACGATTGGATCCTTACACGTTGTGTATGTGTATTGAATTATCGAATGGTAACCCATAAATTTATATAATGATATGAGTCAACTAAACATTAAAAATTTTTAAACCTTGAAATTTAGGCCCCAGTTTGTGCGACAGAACATTGTTTTATCTTAAAGTGTCTTTAATTACCCTGGAATTACTTTGCACCTGCGACTGGGACTGCTCCAGAGGGTCCCCTCTCAGAGCTGTGTTTTCCACTCTGTTGGTCTGCGTCTCATCACCTCTCCTCAGGGCAACGACAGGGAGTTGTGCACAAAAGTACCTGTCACAAGAGAAGCTGGGAAATACCAACTCTTAATTGGATTCTACTGTGGTTTCTGTGACCAGTTCTGACCCCCTGGCATTTTCATTTTTTGAGTTTTGTCATCATTTTTCTTATGAGGAGTTCGGCAGGGCCTGGCCCCGCTGTCCTGTGAGTCGCCAGTGTCTGTTAGGCTGTGGCGGAGTCTCATTATTGCCACCACTGCTGGGCGGCCAGATCTTTTGAAAGCAGGAACCGGAAGCCTCAGGGATTCACTAATGACACCTGAGGACATGCAACAGGACCCACTGTCTGGGGCATGCTGGGGGAGATGCGCAAGGAATGAAAGATGGCCTTCTTCTCATGAATGCTAACAGAGTAGTGCCAGAGTTCTTAGGATATCCAAACAAGTAAACAAACAGGATTTAGGATCCAGCTTAGAAAATAGCTAGGAACTTTGGGAATATTTTTGTGAAATTAAAATGTTTCCCATGATGTTTCTCCTGTTAAGAAATTGAAGAGAGCATTGTGGTAGAGAGAGTCCTGGAGTAGGAATAGAGGACCAGGGATTGGAGGCTCACCTGGGTAACATCCTGGCTGTGTCTTGCTAGATTTATGCCCTCTGGCAAATTACAAAGCTTTTCTGAGACTTGGTAAAGTGAGAATGGTATTATGTAATTTAAATGTGTATAATTCCTAGCATGGAACCTGGACACGTGTGTACTTGGTAAATGTTAGCACTTAGATTCCTGCACAGACAGACAGACAGACACACACACACACACACACTTTTTTTTTAAAACCATTTCTGGCTTTTGGTTTTCTTGTTGCTATTTGTTTGATTGCTTGCTTGTATCTGCATTATATTTTATTCTGTAAAATTAAGGATGGGCTTTTGGAAAGCAAGATGATGTTTACATAAAAATCTTAGGTTAAAAATCTATACTTTCTACCTAATAATCTCACTTATGTAACTATGCACTGAACTGTGCACTGAACTGTCCAAAGAAGAAGTAACAAAGCTATGGTCATAGCAAGAGCCATTTTCCCTTCAAAAAATATCCTGATTAATTTCTATTTTTCTAATTAAAAGATATTTTCTTTACCCTTTAAAATCATTTTTGCTACTTGCTACTATTCTTTATTAGTGGTTCTATATGTTAGGAAATTCTCATCATTTCCCCTAAGTCATTAAAAAAGAGAGCACTGTGAATTCCCCATGGATTCAACATGGGGATGAATCTTGTATAAAGTTTGTCAAATAGGCTTATTTTTTTCTATCTAGACAGCCAATTACTAGAAGAAGCAATGCTGAATTATAACCCATCTTGTATATCCATGCATCTATCAGGATGTATTTCATGGTAAGAATTATACTGGTGCTTCATAATATTTGGTATAAAATGGTTACATCAGAGTACACCAAAATAACGGTCAAGAAAGCGTTTAGAGGAAAGGGAACTCTCACTTTGACTAGTCAATTGCTCATTCCTAGGCTGGGTTCTTCCACCACATTCTCTCACAAGAGCCCTGTGAGTCCCCCACTTTTCTGAAGAGGAAACTAAAGCCCCAGATTTCAAATGACTTGCTTGCAAACCAAGAATTTAAACAAAAAGGCTGCTATTTGACTTTAAAATCCATATCCTAGCTTCTGTTCCCAGCAGCCTTCAATGCAGTGGTTCTTACCTTTAACTATACTTTGGAATCATCTGGGAAGCTATTTAAAAAATAGCAATGCCCAACACAGTACCAAACAAGGAGAGAAAGATGGAGGACTCTCACTATCTGATTTCAAGACTTGCTGTACAAGTCGGTGATCTTGTTAGTGTTGCATTGAAAAAAACAGATACAGAGATCAGTAGGAAAGAACAGAGAGCCTAGAAGTAGACTCACACAAATAAATTCAACCTATCTTTGACAAAGGAGCAAAGGCAATTTAACATAGAAATGACAAGCTTTTCAACAAATGGCACTGGAACAATTGAAAATCCATAAGTTTTTTTTTTTTTTTTTAAATAGAACCCACACAGACCTTACACTTTAATAAATATTAGTTCAAAATGGATTATAGTCCTAAATATATTGTACAAAATTGTAAAACTGTCAGAAGTAAACAAGAAAGAAACTATGTAATCGTGGTTCAACAAGGAATTTTTAGACACATAAGCAAAAGCATGATTTTAGGAAAGAAAAAAATAGTAAGTTGGACTTCATTAAAATTAAAAACTTCTGTGACAGACACTATTAAGGAAATCAGGACAAGAGAATTTCCCAAGGCACAGACTGGGGAAAAATATTTACAAAACACATTTCTAATAAAGGACTTCTATTCAAATATATAAGGAACACTTAAACCTCAACAATAAGACAATAATCTATCAAATTTTAAAATAGACAAAATATTTTAATAGAGACACTTTGCCAAGGAAAATAGAAAGATGGAAAATTGGGAGGTGAAAAGATGTTCATCATTTGTTACTAGGGAATTGGAGATTACAACCAGATAACTCTGCATATCTTTTAAAATGACTGACATTAAAAACCAAACAAATAAACAAAAAACCCCACTGATATTAATTGCTGACAAGGATGTGGAGCAATAGGAACTCTCTTTCACTGCTGATGGGAATGTAAAATGATTCCATCACTTGGGAAGACAGTGCAGAAGCTTTTTGCAAAGCTAGACAGAGTCTTACCGTACCATCAGTGATCGAATCACTACATATTTAATGATTTGAATGCTTAAGTTACTGCTTAAAAATATATGTGCACAGAAAGACCTGCATGTGAATATTTATAGCAGCTTTCTTCATAATTGACCAAACTGAAAGCAACCAAGATACCCTTTAATAGATTAATGGATAATCAAACGTAGGTACATCCATACAATGGAATATTATTCAATGATAAAAAGAAATGAACTATCAAGCCTCAAAAAGATGTGTGAATCTTAAATGCATGCTGCCAAGTGAGAGAAGTCAGTGTGAAAAGGCTTCCTATTTTATGATTCAAATTGTATACATTTTGGAAAAGGTAAACCTATAACAATGGTAGAAAGATCAATGGTTGCCAGAGGTGGGGTAGAAGGAGGAGAAAGCTGAATAAGTGAAGCACAGGGGATTCTTTCAGACAGTGAAATTTTTCTGCATTATATTATAATTATGGTTATATAATATTATGCATTTGTCAAAACCCATAGAACTTAATAGCACAAAGAGTGAACCTTAATGTATACAAATTTGAAAAATCATTTAAAAGATTGGGGAATCCTAGGATGAAACACAGAATTGTGATGATCTAACTGTATTACAAATATATGAAACAATCTCACTCAATTGTATGGAGGAAAAGGGGACTGACTAAGTAGCTTTGGAAGTAAATGAACCCTGTAAGTCTGAAAGCTAAAGGAACTGTAAATAAGCACTATACTCTAGTTGACAAAGTTGCTTCCCCAGGGGGTTGGTCAAATTAACAATTCTCATGCTGGTATATAGGCATACTGGATTTGAAAAATTAAGTAAATGGATGAAATGGCAGGAGCCACGTTTCTTACCGTAGTTATGTGAGGTTTCAGATAAACAAGAGAAGGAGTGTTTGTATGTGGAATCATCCATGTGGTAATGGATTAGTATTGGGTGTAATGATATGAACCCTGTTAGCTTAATATAGATACAAAATTTTACATATAGAAATATTTCTAGATAGCATATAGAAATAGTATGTTTATATACATGAGTTATACATATATATTTTCTTGGTGTATCAGTCAAGATGATCTAGAATTAGTGACAACTCTGTAGTAGCAAACACACCTCGCATAATGATTTGGTTTCCAAGGTTTTCAAAAGAAACCACGACTTGGGTAAGTAATGAATTCTAGAACTAGAGTAGGGAATACAAAAGATGAGCATAGAGTTCTAAAGTAAGGAAGTGTACAGAAAACACCCCCACCCCACCCCCGCGCGCGCGCACACACACACATACACACACACACACACACACATACACACCAATGATGTCAAAGAAAGAGAGCCAACAGGAAGAACCCCCAGTGGCCAAAGAAGGTTTGTTTTGTTTTTGTTTTTGTTTTTGTTTTTGGTACTGGGGATTGAACTCAGGGGCACTTGACCACTGAGATACATCCCCAACCTTATTTTGCATTTGTATTTAGAGACAGGTCTCACTGAGTTGCTTAGTGCCTTCCTTTTGCTGAGGCTGCCTTTGAACTCAGTATCCTCCTTCCTCAGTTTCCAGAGCCACTAGGATTAGCCACTGGGATGTATCACTGTGCCCAGCTCAAAGAAGGAATATTTGCATAATAAAAGAAATTTGTACTGGATTGAAACCCGATGCATAAACTAAATTCATGTGTTCATACCACAATGAGCAAATTATTGAATAAATTTAAAATGGAGGAAAACAGGTAAATTTTCTATGCTAAATAATTTCAAATAATATACTTAGATACTCTTTTCTTAAGGACCTAGAACATAACTCCCCATTGCTCAAGTGTAAGTTGAACATGATCTCTTCCTTCCAGAGTACAGAATGGAAAGAGCAAAAAGGAGTAACTTTATGCTGGAAAAACCTGTCAGGCACTGTTCCTTAGCCAGATGATCAAGGTCAACACCAGTAGTGATGACTCAGGTTAGTACTATGTCCTCTTCCTTGGGTACAATGAATATGGTACTTTCCTTCTGTGGTCTTCTTCCCCAAAGCACATAAACCTTGTCTAATCATGAGGAAAACATTAGATAAATCTCAGTTGAGGGACATTTTATAAATGTATGGCCAGTAATTTGCAATAAGTAAATAAATAATAAAGTCTATGTCACCAAAAACAAGGAAACTCTGAGTCACTGTTACAGCTAATGGGAACCTAAGGAGACATGATGACCAAGTATAATGAGATATCCTAGACAGATCCTGGAAAAGAAAATGGACTTTAAGGAATCTCTGAGGAGATAATGAATAAAGTATGGACTTTAGGTAACAATGTATCAGTATTGGCCCACTAAGAGTAATGACTATATCACTCTAGTGTAAGAAGCTATTAAAAGAGGAAACTGGATATGGGGTAAATAAAAATTCTTTTGTACTATTTTTGCTATTTTTCCATAAAACTTAGATTATTCTAAAGTGAGATGCTTTCTTTTTTTTTTTAGAAGCTCCCAAGGTAATTCTAATTTGTATCCAGCAATCCACTACTCTATGGGGAGGGATGATTTCTACAAACAAGCTGCTCTCTCTTCCTTCTACCTTTTTTGTTTAATTATAATAAATGTTCTGACCTTGTCCCTGGTATCGTAGCAGTGTGACTTAATGATTTTGGTCGTTTGGATGCAGAAAGTTCTTTAAATGCACAGCCAGTGATATAGAATTTAGAGAGTAATATTTCCTATTAAATTAAAAATCTTATCCAGAAGCTTAAAATACCATAAAGAGTTTAGGTAAATAGACAGTGAAGGGCAGATTATGCTAAATGTGTTGTCGGTTTAAATTTGTATGTGGTAGGAATGCCTTTATTTTCCCTCTGCTATGCTGTCTGTACTCGGAGGTGAGACAGTCCCTAAATTTTCAGTACAAAAGGTTGGGCTTTAATTAGATAGTAGAATTATTCTCTGGGGCTTGATTATGACAAATGAGATAAAAGCATTATCTAGTGGCAATGCACCTTAAAGGTTCAGGAACTGCAAATTGAACCTAGCTGTCTGTTTTTCTGGTGCAGGGAGCAGCTGGGTTTACCCAAGAGCATGTCTGGTACAGATGACAGGCTACAGTGGTCAGCAAGGAAGGAACCCTACCTCAGTACCTAGATGGACTTCAGTGAGGAGGTAGATAAGTGAAGGAGCCCTGATTCCTTGCAAACTTTGATGGCACTTGGTTTGGAAATGGTGAGACTACATTTTTATGTTTGCACTCTTTGCTTAAAACCCTAATATTCAGATATGCAAGACATTTATTTTACCTATAATTTCTCTTCTTCAAATAATTTTTAGTAATGATTTCTGTATATTATTAAAACCTGAAAGAATATTAACCACCCAGAAAACATTTTTGATTGGGTTTTATACTATGCTAGGCACTGAGGGGATCTTTAAATAGTTAAAAGTAATTCTGGCTTTTTATTCATTCTTTCATCCAAACAATATTTAGTTGAGTGCACATCATGAACCAGGCATCTATTAGGTATTGAACATTAAAAAATATAAATAATGAAGCAAAAAATTAAGATTTAGTTTCCTTTCTTAAGTTGCCATAGCCCAAGACTGAACTAAATCAGTATTTCTGAATGTCTGGGAAATATCTGGTGATCACCACTGGGAAGGTGGGAGATATCAGGGCATCTAATGGGTAGAGTCCAGGGATGCTGCTCACTGTTCTATTATACATATTTCAGCCCCCAACAACAAATAATTATCCGATCCCAAATATCGATAGTGTAGAGGTTGAGAAACCCTGCAAACCCACTGAGTTTTCTTCCTTTAACTGAGAACATGCTTCTATGTGTGAATTAAACAAAACCACCCTAAGCCTCTTCCTGCCTTCCCTTTACCAGGTTGGGTAGGAACAGTGGAGAACAGAGTATAGGGAATAGCCCTGCCATTTAGGTGGGGTTTGGTGGTAGCAATCTTCAGAGGAAGGTCCTCAATTCTGTCATCAGGTCCCAGCAGTGGAAACAGTTACAGCCCAGACCAGGGGCATGTCCAGTTAAATCAGGCTCCCCAGAGAGAGGACCTGAGTCTTCTTTTTAATGGGAGCAGCCAAACTTCTTCAGTCAAGAGCAGGTATGCACAAATCTTTTCAAATAATTTTACTAAAATCCAGTGGCACTCTTACAATTTAGGCATAGGTTTAACAGCTAAATTGAAAGTACCCTAAAACATTGGTATTGTTTTATTTATTTGTTAAGTATTAAGTACAAATTTAAAAGAAAAAAAAGTGGCCTTACAACTAACTGCCTTGTTCAACGTAGCTACTAACCACATGTGACTTCTTAAGTTTAAATTTGTTGACACTAAGTAAAATTTGAAAATGTAAACACAACTTAAAATTCATTCCTCAGTCTCACTTGTCACATGTGAAGTTCTCATTAGCCACAAGTGATTACTCACTACCCCACTGAACTTTAACAGTGTGGATGTAGAACCTATCTATTATCATGGGAAGTGTCTAGGACAACACCGTTCTTCAAGGTGCTGTTCTTAAGGGTCCTCGTTCAATTGTGCACTGTTGTTGCTGAAAAAAAAAGGAGGGGGGGGTGTTTCCTAGAAGCTGAGGCTCTGGCGCAATGCTTTGCAATATCTCATTGTCATCAGTGGTTAGAAAGGCACAGCCATATTCAACTGGAGGGACCACATCTTTTCTGATATGGAATTTCATAAACATTTATAAAATAGATATTGGTTAACATATAAGAAGAGTGAAGTTGTAGTTTTCCAGAATATGTGATAATGTAAAAATTCAACTACATAACTCTTCTAAGGCATTGCTGATCTAAATGGGTATTGTTGAATAATAATTCCATTAACATATGTCAGTAGGGAATTAAGATATGTGACCCAAATATATCTCTTTTTAGCAAACTGACTATAATATAGAACTAGTGCTCAGTGGCTCTAAACTGCAGATAAGGTGGGATGAAGGGAAGAGACTATCTGAAGCCCCTGGAGAGCATTTGTAAAATGCATACATCATCACTATGTAAAGTTCATCAGAAGGGTGTGGTTAGGTGTATGGGTAGGGCAGATATCCAAAGGAATATATTTTGAAAAATGTCCATTGTTTCTATGTAGCCAATTCAAGTAACTATAATTTAAAAGTATGGAAAGGATAATAATCATGAATTTTGCCATTGTATAAATGGAGATAATGTGACTTTAAAAAGGCCCCACCTGCCAGAAATTGTGATTCAGTTTGCCTTGGATGGGACCAACATATCCACTCTATTCTCTACTGCTGTCTTTCTTTTAAATGACTCCACTCATTGTTCCCATCAGTCCCTCCCCCTGTGTCAGTTAGGATGATTATCAGTTGGGTTTAGAACAATGGCCTTAGGCAGTTTTTTTCCAATATTGAGTGTCTCTAGCCAACGTTTGCAAGCTGTGTATCATAGTGTTCTTAGATACATTTTCTGATTGGAGCCTGAAGTGACAATTTTGTGTGCTGCTGATCAAAGAGGTGTCACATGCAACAGAGGACACATTGGCCAGAGAGGAAGGACACTCAGCTGAGGAAATCCCACTTTTTGTATTTGTTCAAGCTGAAGGACACCCCACTTCCAGAGAAAAGTGGACCTGGAATATGTGAACAGGGCTAAAGATGTTCTCTATAAGAACCGATTCAAGTCCTTGCATACCTAGTCAGGCTGAGAACCCAAAGTTTGCATAGAGTTTTGTTCATTTTGGTTTATATTAGAAGATTATTACTAACCATAGAGAAGCATAACAATCTACAAAACGACAGCTCTGCTTATGGAGAGAAAACTTCTATCACTCTTTCCCTCCTATTCAAATCCTGGAATCTCACACCACATTTTCAAAGTATGTTGATTTTTCTTCTAGTAAAGTTGATGCCCTGATTAGGCCATGTTTATTTTTAATTTTCATTTTTTCAGAATGAGTCAGAATAGCCTGACCATATTCTATATTTTCTTCATTCCTGGTTTTAAGTTTTCTCCTGGTAGTAACCTAGTTTTCCCTATCATATGTTAAATACTGATCACTTGGGGTTTAAAAAATTATTATTGGGATTCATATCATTGAAAACTATCTATAAGCTTTTGGTGGCATGGAGTACAACATATGTCATTAGAAAAAATCATATCCCATGACCCCCAGAAAATGCCCAACTCTAGCTTCCTCCTTAGATTACTCATCTTTGTATCACTGTGACAAAATACCCAAGAGAAATTATCTTAGAGGAGGAAGGTTTGTTTTGGTTCACAGTTTCAGCTATTTCAGTCCCTGGTCCCTTGACTCTTTTGAGTATGGCCCTGTGGTAAGTAGAGTATCATAAAGGAGAGGGCATGGTGGACAGAGCTGCTTATCTCCTGGCAGCCTAGAAGCAGAAAGAGAGGAGAGAGGCAGGGGATGGGGGAAGGAGAGAAGACTGGACCAGAGGGTATGCTCTCAAGAATCTACTTCTTCCAACTAATCCCTCCATCTCCTAAGTTCCCACCACCACCCCAAAACCCATTAAATTATGAGTCTACCAGTGGGTTAATCCAGATGTGGGTTAGTGAGGTCAGATCCATCATCATCAAATCACCTTCCAAAAGCCAAACCTCTCAACACTGCTGCCCAGGGGACCAAGTCTTCAACAATAAATGGGGGACATTTCAGATCCAAACTGTAACACTCCTTTTAAGGATATCAGAACCTGTTGGTTGATGGTGGAAGAAAGGGTTGAAACTGTGGAGAACTGCTGATACCTAATGTGATAGCATCCTCTGAAACTGTGCCCTTGTGAAGTCTGCAAGAACTGAAACTGAGTAGTTAGGGAAGATGGTCAAACCTAGATGGCTAGGTTCCATCTCTACAAAGTCTAGGTAAAGATCTCTCCTCTGCCTTTGCCTGCGATGTCAGAGGTATGATGTGGCCTAAGATTCTGGGAGGAGGCTGGGCTTGTCTTCTCTAGGTTGTCCAGCTGGAGGGTGGTCATACCTTAAAACCATGAAGAGTTTAGGCTTTAAAATTTTCAGTTATGTTATGAGAGAAATGAAGAAAAAACTCTAGAGTGACCTGCTGAAGACTATATTGTGCATTCATAAATGAATATTAAGTGTCTATTATGTGCCACGATACAATGTGCTGGTGTGGCATGATCCAAATTATATTTGGTGTTGCTCCCAGTTTCTGGCACAGAGCTTCTAAGACTTTGGGAATTGTCTGAGTGAGAACAGTGTCATTCATATGTTAGTGAAGTGACTGAAAAGGGGTAGACTTAGATAGTTCAGCAGAACCAACACCTAATTAGACAGATAGAGCTGCCCCTCTGCACTCCACCTCCGTCTCTGGTACAGGAGACCGAGTTCAATCACCCATCATTGAGTAAATCGTGCCTACATAATGAAGTATAACTCTGAAAAGATGAAGTTAGTGAGCACATGATACACAGAGGGGGCTCTGGGGTCTCATGCCACTTATACTTTGCCCTATAAACCTCTTCCATTTGGCTATTATTTAAATTTTATTTTTTAGTTGTAGATGGACACAATACCTTTATTTTATTTATTTATTTTTAAGTGGTGCTGAGAATCGAACCCAGTGCCTCACGTGTGAGGCAAGCACTCTGCCACTGAACCACAACCTCAGCCCCAGGCTATTATTGATTGTATCATTTATAACAAAACCTTATTGGAAAGTAGGAACCTTTTCTGAATTCTGTGAGTCATACTAGCAAATTTTGAACCTAATAGGGGGATTCCTCCAATTTGTGGTAGACTGAGCAGAAAAATACAGCCATCCTGGGGACTCTGTATGCTGCTGGTATCTAATGTGATAGCATCCTCTGAAACTGTGCCCTTAATTTGTAGAGTCTGCAGGAACTGAGTGGTTGGAATGCACACCGAATTGAATTGTTGGCCAATTTAATTGCTGTTAGCAAATTAGATAATTGGTTGATATTCAAATGATGTAGCTGGGGTAGAATGTTGAAGAGAAGTGGAGAAGTTTCTGCTTTCAAAATTTACAGGTATCTTGATGAGTTTTTTGTTGTGATTCAGCACTATGCCACATATCAGCCAATCACCCATCCAGATCTGGTCTTCAGGGACTGAGCCTTATGAATCACATCAGTGGGCACCATGCTTTCTGTCTCTAGTTGGGTGTGAATGTCTGGCAGCAAGTTGAAGAGAAGGAGGTAAGGGCAGGCAGGGTGTTACTCCCTTCTT